GGATCGTATTGGGTCGATCTGGAAGATTACTTGGGCTGTTGTGGGCTTCGTGAAAGCCGAAGAGGCGAACGTGCTGGAAATGCATGTTGCCCATAAGAAATGAATGGCTTTTTGCTTCTGGAAAGCCTCTTGGGACGTCTCTGGGCGGTTTCTCAGAGCGTCTTGGGGGCCTGTAGGACTGCCGGGAGGCAATCTGTAGCGTCTTGGAGCGATCTTTCGACGACTCGTAGCCCTCGTGGGCCGTCCAGGAGGCCTTTGAGGACCCACTTGGCCAATTTTTGGGGCCCTCTTGAGGCCGTCCTGCGGCTCTCCTAGGCCGTTGCGGTTGTTTCTGGGGCATTCGCGGGGCCTTCGTTGGCCGTCTTGGAGCCTTCTTGGAGGCCTCTTGGGTTATCTGGGTTCGCTCGTGGACGCTTCTTGGGCCGTTGTGGGCCTCGTGAAAGGCCAAGAGGCGAGTGTGTTTAAAGTATACGTTCTGTCCGTAGGCAATGGGGCGACTTCGGTTTCTGGAGGGCGTCTTGGTGGCTTCTTGGGGCGTCTTGGGGGGTTCTGCGGCCGTCTGGAGGCAATCCTCTGCGTTGTGGAACGATCCCCCGTCGCCTCGTAGCTCTCTTGGACCGTTCCGGGAGCTTTTTGGACCTTTTTGGCTCGCTTTGGGGCCCCTTAAGGTTCCAAGTGTGCAGCCGGCACCTTTACCCCCCACTCCACCCCCCTTGGGGGAGCCCTTTGGGGCCGTCGGGGGAGCCCTACGGGGCCGTCCTGGGGCCGTCCTCGATGGCTGCGGGGGCCCTGGGCTGTCTGGGAGCCCTCTTGGAGGCATATGGGTTTCCTTGAATTGATTTGGGGGCTTCTTGGGTTGCTGCGACATCATGAAAGGCTCAGAAGCGAATGTGCTAAACTTGGACGTTTCCCTTAGGGAACGGGCCGATGGTTGCTTCTGGAGGGCTTCTTGGGCCGCGTCCTGGTGGCGTGTTGGGGCGCGCAAGGGGTCTCAAGGGCCGCATGAAAGGCCAAGAGGCGAACGTGTTGGAAACATGTGCTTGCCATCGAGAATGGGACGGTCGTTGCTTCTGGAAGGCTTTTTGGGACGCCTCTGGGTAGCGTCTTGAGGCGTTTGGGGGGCCTGTAGGGCTGTCGGGAGGCCATGTTGGACGACTTGGTGCACTCGTGAACGACTTGGGCCGACGAGGAGGCTGGCCCGTTTTGGGGCCCTCTTGGGACCGTCCTGTGGCTCTCCAGGCCCGTTGCTACGGTTTCTGGGGCATTCGCGGGGCGCCCGGAGAACGTCTTGGATTCTTGAAAGCCTCTGGGGCTGTAAGGGGTCGATGTTAAATGCTTTTTGGGCCGAGGTAGGCTTCGTGGAAGCCCAAGAGGCGACTGTGTTGAAAATGTATGTTTCCCCATAGAGAATCTGACGAATTGTGCTTGTGGAGGCCTTCGTGGAGCGCCTCGTAGTAGCGTTTTCAAACGTCTCGGGGGCCTATGGGGGATTGTCTGCAGGCAAGCTGGGGCGGTTTGGACCGACTCGTCCCCCTCGTGGGCCGTCCAGAAGGCCTTTGGGGACCCTCTTGGCCCGTCATGGGGCTTTCGTGGGAGCGTCCTGCGACTGTCCTGGGCCGTTGCTGCGGTTTCTGCGGCTTTCGTGGTGCGCCCGGAAGCCGCCGATGACCAAGAAGGTGCACATCGCTTGCGTTTCGGATTATTTGGTCACGGACGAGAGGCTGGGGCAAACGAAACAAGAGATTCTCGCTGTCTTGGCAGAGGTCATAGGTTCTGTGGAGCGGCCAATCATAAACGGAGGTGATTGGAACATCCCAGCAGACGAGCTAGAGGTTTCCGAATAGCCATGCAGCGTGCGTCTTCGGGTTGTCGCGCCGACGGATGACACGTGTGGCAGCCGCGTGCTTGATTATGCGATGATTTCGCAGTGCCTTTTCCCCTTTGCTGCTCAGGTCCAGTCTATTCTGGACACGCCCAAGGGCCCGCACGTTGCTGTTTCCTTGGGGCGGAAAGGCCGAGCGGGGCCTGTTCGGATCCGGCAGCGGGTTGTTCCGCGCGGATCCTCCCCTGGGCACGCCTCGGGGCGCCGAAGGTGTTTCGAGGTCCCAGGTCCTGATGTCTGGGGAACTGCTTGGTCCTGTGGTCCTGCGACGCAGGAGCCATGCCACCGCAGCTGCTGGAGGCGGCGCACGCATGGGCGAATGCAGCTGAGGCGTTTCTCGTTTTGGTTATCATCAGATTTCCGCTGGGAATGCCCCCCAGTTTTCGGGCAGAGCCCAAGGTTGCCAGTTTCGGGCGATGCCGCTCAAGGCAGCCCGGGGCAGGGAGCTAGCCGGGCGGTCGACGGCAGGCACGACGAAATGGTCGTAGCCACGCAGAGTTTGACCCAGACGCTCGGGCTAATCAAAAAAGACGGGGGGACTCGGAGAGTTACTTGGGCGAGGTTGTCGGCGGTCTTCGATCAGATCAGCACATGTCTCAGCTCTGCAGAGCTGGGGGCTCTGCGAGGTTTCTCGGGCCACTCTCTCTCCTGGAAGGCCTCGGGCGGCGCGCGGATGCGCTGGGGGCCCTGGCGCAGGAGGCTGCTTCTAGAGTTGCCTGCGACGCTCTCGGGGCTAGACAAGCGCTGCGGGACTTTGCCTGGGCGTCGGCGCTTCAAGGCGGTCGCATTGCACGCCGTCTCAGCAAGGGTCCCAAGCGAACCCCAGAGCCCGCCACAGGCCTTGAAGAGGAAGGCGGCGCCCCGTTTCCTGGCCACATGGCCCTGATGAAGATCCCGGAGGAGAGGGATGGGATGGGTTCCACCCCCAGACTTCATTATCTCACAGCTGCCTTCGGCGATTTTCCGGAGATCTGCAGACGCGCTCAACGCGCGGTGGCGAATTCCGCGCGCCCCCAGCTCTGGATGATTATGTTTGCTTTCCTGGACAAGCCAACAAGAGGAGTGAGACCGATCGGGTCGTTGCCGTTCCTGGCTGGCGTTTGGCCCATGGGCCGCCAGCGGTTTCGCAGCGCTTGGGAACGGGGGCGCTCGTCGGAGCTGTCCCGGGGCCAGAGCAGGGCAGCGTCGCGCGATGAGAGCGCGCGGCTGCACGACTGTCTTTCGGCGTTCGACCCGACTGCGCAGACCGGCCTCGAGGGCGGCACTTTTTGGGTGCCGAGAAGCTGCGCGGTGATGTCTCGCACGCTGAGCCCAGAGAAGTTGCGCCCCACGCCGCGTTTCCAGATGGCCTCCTGAGGGGCCAGTGCTGCTTGCACCGGTCGGAGCGGCGCGCGGTGTTCCGCGGCGTCGCGGGGCGGCCTTCGGAGGCCCACGGCGCGGTGGTCGCGGGATGCTCGCGCGCCGCGTCGTCGGCCAAGGCCACGGTTCTTGCCGCCCTCAAGAATGCCCGCTTTGACGCGCCAGCCGCGATGATCAAGAATGCCATCGACGACGTCCCCCTTGACGCGGAAGGAGGCGAGTCCACAGTGTCGACGAAGAGCGGCGACTCTTTTAATTCGGCTGCCCGATTTCGTGGCCCACGGCAGGCTGCTCGGCAGACTCGCCCAGTCCCGTCACCAGGGTGGCCGACGGGTTGCCCTTGGGAGTCTCCGACAGGGAGACGGCCCACAGGGACTTCGGCGGGGACGCGACAGACGGGCTGCTTCGGAGGGTGTCGACGCACCTCGAGAGGTATTTGTCGGCGCAGAGGAGAGCTCTCAGACTGCGCGCGCCTCGGGGAGCTGAGGCCGCAACGCCCAGGATTCATCAGTCAGGTCCAACGGAGATGGCCACGCGGAGCTCTTGTGTCCACGGCCTAGGAGACACGGACTTAGGGCCCCGGCTCACGCGGAAGGCAGATTTCTTTGGAGGTCGGCGGGGCTGCACCTTGGTTGCAGGCGTCAAGGTTGGAGGAGAGATCCTCCGAAGTTTTAAGTGATGTGCAGCTTTCCAGGCCAGTGCTAGACACCCTGACTGGGTTAGCCCGAGCCAATGCTGCGACCTATAGGCCCTGGGTGACCCGAAAGGACCCAGTGGCCGCGGTGGCTATCACGGCCCAGAGAGTGGGCTGGAGTTCCGAAGATTTTTTGGACGGCGGTGGATGGTCGGGGGGTGGAGTGGACCGTTTTGCGGTGGAAAGGTGAAGCGAGAGCGGCAAGGCGCTTGGGTGCAAGGGCGCAGAATGCAAGGGTGACCCCGAAGGTAGTCCGACGAGAGACCCAGGCGGCGGAGGCTACAGGCGAAGGCGCGGGCAGCGCACCTGGTGGCACACGATCGCAAGGCAGCGGGGAGCAGAAAGACGGACGAGGTGGCAGACGGTAGACGAGACGGCGGAGCTTGGGGTTGGTGCCCAGGGTTGGCGCCCACGCTTGGAGCCGCGGGGCACGGTGCACATTTGGGGCGACAGTCGCCAGAAGGCGTCGGGATACAGGATCGGAAGCGGTCGCTGTCGTCGAGGTAGGTCGGGCCCCAGCGCCAGTTGAAAACATCAAGCCAGGACAGGCGTCGGCCGCGGGCGTCGACAGCATCCGTGGTGAGGCGTCGGAAGACGGCGTTCCTGACCATCGTGCCCGTTGCGCCGCGGTTGTCGCCCAAAGTCTCGTCAAGACAGAATGCGGGGGCGCAGGAGCCACGCGGGAGGGTCAGTCGCGCAGCCCCGGGCAGGACGCGCGGCGGGGATCGCAGCGCTGAAAGAGAGAGAGAGAGAGAGAGACAGATAGGGGAACGAAGAGTGACATACACATACAAATTCGGAGGTCCGCGCGGATTTTTCGGATCCGCGCTGGACCCCGTCCCTGGCGCGCGGAGCGCGCCAGGGGCGGCGCGGGAGGCGCCGCCAGGGGGGTCCAGCGCGCGGACCTCCGAGTTTCTATGCTTATGTCATCCTTCGTTCCCCTAACAGAGGGAGAGAAAGAGAGAGGAAAAATAGAGAGAGAGGGATGGGAAAATAATGGGAGAACAACCAAAACAACACAACAACAAAAAAAACGACGGGCAAACTTAGCAGCGCGAGGGGCAGGTCGCGGAGCCCGCCGGGGGGCACTGGGCCGAGCTGCTGGCCGCGGCGCTGCCGCCCGCGCTGCGGGGCGCCCTTCGAGAGGGGGGGGGAGGGCGGGGCTCGGCCTCGGCACCCGCCGAGCTCCGAGCGGGCCGCCCCGGACCTTTTTTGGCACGAGGAGGAGGAGGAGGCACAAAGGACCAGGGCAGGGAGGACGAGGAGAGAGGGACAGAGAGAGGGAGGGGAGGAGGAGGAGGAGGAGGAGGAGGAGGAGGAGGAGGACGAGGAGAGAGGGACAGAGAGAGGGAGGGGAGGACGAGGAGGAGGAGGAGGAGCACCAGTGTTAACCCAGGCAGCAGCAACGATACTGCGATACACCCTCCCTCCGAGCTCCCTTGTTTCATGGGCCCCGATGCATTTCCACTGAGGCAAGCGCCCCGTTGGGAGACCATCGTGCGAAAATCTCGAACCGCACCAGACAGAGTACCACCCTTGGGACTTCCTCGCCACGACTAAACCTGACGACTGCGTCTTGACGATATTGAATCGTGCCAGAACACCAGTCCTGAGACTTCAACACCACGAATCAAAGTAACCGCTGCGCCCTGACATGCCTACAGTTCTCCAAAACACCATTTCTGGGACGCTAGCTATGAGAATCCATGGCGAGAGCCACATTTTGAAGACGGGCCGCCTTCAATCCGTGAGCTTTCTGCATTTGTAAGACGAATGTGCGCGGCGACCAATGCGCGCGGGGCTAAGGCGAGAGCTAATGTTTTAAACGGACCGCCCCCCATCTGCTAAATTGCGGTCATGCTCTCAGCTTCGGGATCATAAATGGTGAGGAAGTCTCCGGCGAAACGTCCGCCCCGTCCTTCCGACCGGCCTTGGGGTGCGACAGGGAGGAGTTGTCCACCAGGAGAAGGAATGGAGGAGGAGGAGGAGGAGGAGGAGGAGGTGGAAGATTACGTAGAAGTTGCTGGGAGAGGAGGAGGGCGAGGATGAGGACGAGGAGGAGGGAGGACGAGGACGAGGATCGGGCGTTGCGTAATACCGGGGGGGGGGGGGGCAATCAATGGGGGCGGCTAAGATTGGAAGCACCTTTCGTCCACCTTGGGGGCTTCAAAGGAGCCCTCTGGGGCCCAGGTGGGGCACGAAAGGTGCACGTGCCTTCGCCCTCGCAGTAAACAACGCCCAAGAGGAGGGAGAAGAGAAGGAGGGGGAGAGAAAGGAGGAGGAGGGGGAGAAAGAGGAGGAGGAGGAGGAGGAGGAGGAGGAGGAGGAGGAGGAGGAGGGGGGGGCTCAAGCCACCTCGTCTCAAGTGCCGAAGCCGGCCCGAAGCATCTGAGATGGAGATGCGATGATGTTTAGCCCGTTCTCGTTTACCGCTCGCACGCATGAAGGAATTTCAGCAGCGAAGTCAAGCCATTGGGAGAGGGTGGGTGGCGAAGCAAAGCCGCTGGTGATGAGGAAAACCGATCCATTAGACGGCATGCGAGAATCTTGTGGGAAGATGGAGGGGGCGAGCCGGGGGCACGGTGTGAGTGAGGGCTAGGTCTCCTTAGTGCGTGCGGATTCGGACCGCAGATCGCGGTCGATCGCGGGAGGAGGGGGAGGAACAGGAGGAGGTGGAGGAGGAGGAGGTGAAGGAAAGGGAACGAAGGATCAGGATGAGGAGGACGACGGATGATGGAGGGAGGGAGGGAGGGAGGGAGAGAGGGAGGGAGAGAGGCACCCATGCAAGCGGAAAACCGATTCGGGTGAGCTGGCCCGAGGGCGTTGCGCGGCGCACCCACAGGTGAATCCGAAGCCAAAGCTGATTCGCACAGAAAAATGAAAAAGGTCCACCCTGCAGGAGGTTTGGTTGGAAGCACATCGTTGAGCGGCGCTGCAGCCTCCCCTGAGCACAGCCCCCCCTCGGAGCAGCAACCAGACAAGCCAGATTTACACCCTCATGCCTTGCTGGACCATGGGCGCGTCCTGGCATTACTGCTGCCAGGAACGGGGGAGAAGGAGGAGGAGGAGGTGGACGAGAAGGAGGAGGAGGAGGAGGAGGAAAGGAGGAGGAGGAGCGAAAGAAGGAGAGGAGGAGCAGGAAGGAGGAAGAAGAAGAAGAAGAGGAACAAGAGCTAGAAAATACGTGTACGAACAAGAGCTAGAAAATACGTGTACGTGTACCGTTCCCCCTTTTGGCCTTACTTACAGCCCGTCTTACCCTTGAGGCAACGATCTCACCAGCACGATCGCAGGACGCTTCGGAACCCTTTTCCGTTGAGGACCATACGCCAAAACTCCATAGAATTCGCGGTGGATTAGCCCAGACAGGGCTAGCGAAGAGTCGCCACATGCCCCGACTTTCTTCGGGCCTGATTGCGAACGCGCACAAGCAGGAGTTGGCCACTCGGGCACTGTAGGGCGATGCAGCGCCTTAGTTTCTGGGTGGTTCGGATAGCGCTTCGCCTGACCAGCCTGTCAGAGCAGGCTGGCCAAGCGTTGCAAAACCTCGCGTTGTCAAAGACCAGAATCATGTCGATTGGAGGATGGAAGAGGGGGGGAGAAGGAGGAGGAGGAGGAGGAGGAGAAGGAGAAGGAGGAGGGGGAGGAGAAGGACGAGGAGGAGGGAGACAAGTGCAATCCCAAGAATTATCAACGATATTGCAATGAACCTTCCCTCCAAGTTCTCTCTTCGTACAGTAGGTTCGCATCGTTTCGACCGGTGGTGACCCCGCCGCTGGCGTTCAATGTTGAACGCCGCCGGCGACACAGAGTCGGGCGATGCTGAACGCGCTGACGTTTCGGAAACGCCCGATCTTTCAAGGTTGAACGATCCCCGCGGTGTCAGAAACCACCGCCAGGGTCGACACGACGCGAACCTGCCGCAGGCCCCTACAGGGATTCATTTTGATTGGGGGAATTGCCCCGTTGGAAAACTAACCGTTTGAACGGCTTGAATTGTGTCAGAAGACCGTTCATTGGATTTCGACGCCGCAAAACACCGTCATTATTACGTACTGACGACCCTGAATCGTGACAGAACGTCACTCTTTTATTATAACACCGCGAATCAACAGAACTGTTGCGCCCTGACACTCCGACATCGTGCCCAAACACAGTTTCTGCAACGCCAACCTTTGGAATCCTTCAAATGCTTGCACATCCGCTAAAAGAGTGTGCGCGGCGCTTCGCTACGGCGAGAGCCACATCTTGAGAACGGACCGCCCTCCATCCGCGAAACTATTGCATCTTTCAAAGGACGAACGTGCGCGGCGCGGAGACGAGAGCCACGTTTTGAAAATTGGCCGCCCTCAATCCGTGAAATGATTGCAAACGTCTGCGACGAACGTGCGCGGCGCTGAGGCGAGAGCCACATCTTGAAGACGGGCCGCCCTTCGTTCGTGAAATTATTTAATCGCTTCGCTCATTCCGCCGGCCCTCGAGCGCTCTACGGGGCCTCTTGGAAGCCTCTTGGGGGCCTCTTTGGGGCCTCCTAGGGGCCTCTTGGGGGCCTCTTGGGGGTCTCTTGGGGCTCCTTGGCGGCGTCTTGGGCCCCCCTTGGGCCTCTTGGGTGGCTCTTGGGGGCCTCTTGCGGCGGGGTAGTCGAGTGCACCCCCCTCGGAGGCCACGATCCTCGTGAGGGGTGTCGAAAAAAGGCCCTCAAAACCATCTCTGATCCGACCCTGATCGCCCGGGGTACTTTTCGCCGGGGGACCCCCAGGGGCCGCCCCGCGCGCGCGAACTAGAAGTATTATTTAGCAGTTACCGGAGATCTTAGCACGCCTCTGGCCCGTTGGGCCGGCGAATTGCGCGGCGGCGAGAGCCACCTTTCCAAACCGGCCCTCCCTCCATCCGCGAAGCTCTCTTGCACACTCTCAGTTTTCAGGACCATGATGGTGAGGCAGTCTCAGGCGAAATCCCCAGTCCGCCGTACCGACACACCTCGAGGTACAACAGGGAGGAGTTATTGATAAGGGAAAGGGATGGAAGAGGGAGGAGAAGGGGGGAGGAGAAGGAGGACGGAAACAGGGAGGGAGGGAGGAAGGAGAAGGGAGGAGGAGGGAGCGAGGGCGGAGGAGGAGGGAGAGAGCAGGGAGGAGGGAGAGGGCGACGAAGGCTGGGGGGGAGAGAAAAGATGGAAGATGGAGTTCCGAGGATTTTGAGAGCATGTTCGGCCCATTCTGGGTTTCCGAAGGCCTCCGAGGACCGCTGGAGGCCTCAAGGGACCTCCTTGGACATTTCGAAGTACCTGAGCTGATGCAGATCTCGGAGGTGAGTTACGACGCCGAGCTGTCGGGGAGCCTTGCGGTGCCCCGGACCCGGGTCTTGGGCAGGCGCGCGGTGTGCCTTTCCGTGCCTGCCCCGTCCTGCGTGCCCCTCCGCGCCCACCTCTGCCCCGCTGTGAGGAGGAGGAGGAGGTGGAGGAGGAGGAGGAGGAGGAGGAGGAGGAGGAGGTGGGGGAGGTGGGGGAGGAGGCGGAGGAGGAGGAGGTGGAGGAGGGGGAGGAGGAGGCGAGAAGCAAAGACGTGGCGCCAGTGCATTCGCACGAACTCACATGGGTTTCGCTCGACAGGGCGCAGGACGCGAGCGTGCTCACCTCGAGGGCGGCCTCGTGCACTGCGGGGCCGCTCTCGTGTGCATGGCCAGGGCGCGTGCGTCCTCTTCGGGCCCCCTTGCAGCAGAGGAGGCGGTTGGTGGCCTCCCGCCCTGCCCCGCCTCCTCCTCCTCCTCCTCCTCCTCCTCCTCCCCCTCCTCCCTCCTCGCCTCCCGCGGGAAGACGACGTGGAGATTCGGCGCGGGACTGTTGGGCACGCGGCTGCCCCGCGCCCTCCGCGGATCTCGAGGCCGACTGCGGCGCCCGAGGCTGCTCGCCCCTTTTGCTTTTTTGGGGGCCGCACCCACGGCCTAACTCCCATTCCCCCCAGCAGCGTCGCGGCGCGGCGCGCCTGCCTGGGCGTTCGCGGAGATCTGCGGGCTCCGCCGCGCCGGGTCCCGCCGAGGCCACCTCGGCGGCGGGGAAGAGTCGCTCAGGCCCATCTCCGCCAGCGCCCGCGCCGCGCAGCCAGGAAGGTCCTCGGCCTGCGGCGCCTCCAAACGTCGTGGGCCCTCGTCGAAGGCGAACCGCCCGACCAGCCCAGTCCCCGGGACGAGGCGTGGCGGCGGCGGCGGGAGGGCGCCCCGGAGCGCCTCCCCGTCGCCAGTGCTGGAGCGTGCTCGCCCGCCCTGCCGGGGCAGGGCGGGCCACCGGCGCGCGCCCGCGGCGCGCCCCGCGGCACCAAGAAAAATTAATAATGCTGCAAAAATACCCCAGAAAGATAAAAATATAATAAAAATAACAAAAAAAACACCAAAAACAAAAAAAACAAAAAAACAAAAAAAAAAAAAAAAAAAAAAAAAAAAAAAAAAAAAAAAAAAAAAAAAGTCCCCGGACTATTTTTGGAGTATTTTTTTATTATTTTGGGGGCATCTTTTGATTATTTGGGGGGCATTGATGCCGTCTGCCGTCAGCAGGCTTCCTTGGCTCCCTTGGCCCGCACGACCGACGGTCGACGGTCAATCTGCACCACCGCTGCTGCCCCCCACCGGGCGCCACGTAGGGGGAGCAGGGCACAGATAGCAAACGTGGCCCCGGAAGCCAGGAGTTTGTCCCTGCGCCCGCTCTGGCTCATCGCGGGGGGCGGAGCGCGAGCAGGGGCAGGGGGAAAACAATCGGCCGCTCGCCACGGAAAGGCAGGCGAGGAGCAAGAAAGGGCGAGGAACAGGCCAGATCGCAGCACAGGCAGCCAGAGCCAGGTCGTCCGGAGGGGGACCAGTCGCACAAGGGCCGAGTCGTTGCAGCTCTCGATTGTGTTGCCCGTTGGGGGGTGCCTCCTTCCAGTCAGGACCACCTGGCCGCGAGCGCGGCTTCTCCTCCCTCTTCGTTATTTATCTTGCACTCTGCTCCGCCACAAACGAGCGCAAGGCGCAGAAAGCCGCCGAAGCACCGCGCGGTCGGTTGCCGAGCAAAACGTGTTGGGGGGACACCTTATCTGCCCCATAGAGGGCGGCCCTTTTCTGCATTCAACGCGAATGGTGGCATGGTGGGACGGGCCAGGCCCCCCGAAGACTCCGCATAACCTTTCATGGGTTTTGCGAGCCTCATTTGTGAGGATCCTCGACAACAGCAGGCACAACGAATAGGAAACCAGCCGACCAGCAGGCGCCCCGTGCCCTGCAGAGATGTCGCATTCTCCGCTTGCCCCATGGACCGCCTGGGGTTCAGAGAACCGTGGCGCGCGGCTTAATCTAGACCCTGGCGCACACCAGCGCCCTCGATGCGCTAGGCGCGCCCGGGACCTCGGGGCATCCAGAGGACCGAGCGCACGCAGTCCAGTTATTGCCACCTCACATGGCAAGTTCAAGTAGCATTCCCGAGGGCACCCTTGCAGCATGACCCAAACTCTGGCTTCAAAAACCCATAAGCATGCCGTGCGCCGCCCCCAATAAACAGATTAGGCGTCCAATGAGTTTGCGCTTTTGCCTGGCGTTCTCATTATCAAGTCTGACTGCACCGCGGACCCTTCTCTCACACGCGCTGGATGCCCTCCAGGATTGGTTTCTGTTACCCCCAGCAGTGCGCCCACTTAGAGGGCTCTTACTTCTCGCTGTTGAACTCATTGGTTGACTGTTCCAAGGCCCCGCCACGTTGCGGCCCCTGCCGCCTCGTGGGCGCCCCGCGCTTGGGGGGGCATGCCGAGGTTGCGCCAGGTTGCCGCCCGTGCCGCCTCATGGGCGCCTCGCGGGCGCCCCCCTCGCTGGGGGGGTATGCCGAGGCTGCGCGACGGTGCCGTCCGTGTCGCCTCGCGGGTATTTCGTGGGCGCCCCGTGTTCTGAGCTTGCACGGCATGGCTTACACCACATAGTGCAAACCGCACAGATTACACGGCATAGCTTAGATCACATAGTTTGCACCACATGGCTCCACTTCCTCAGCTCACATCTCATAGCTTACACGACACAGCTTGCTCCGCAAAGTTCCCACCTCCACCGAACAGTAACGCCCCGTTTGGCGTCCACGCTGGCTAACATGAAAGGTTATGTCTCACCATCGCGAGCTTCACCTAAGACTGCCCCGTTCGCACGCCGCTCCGCACGCGTGCAGGAATGTAATGGAGCGTGTTGCTCAGCAGAAAACTCAGAGCCCCAAGCGCGTCGCAATTGCAGAGCCGCATGAAGTGCGCATCATCGGTTGCGAGTTCCATCCGAACACAATGGCAATGGTGTCATGTCAAGCGACGCCTCTGGGCTTGTAACCCATTCATGTATCATTGTACGTGCTTGAGAGTTGAGTAGCGCAACCCTCTCGACAAAGGGATGGTCCATGTAGTTCAGAGACTGGATGGACAATTCCCGGAGTTGGCGGGCGCCAGGGACAAGGCAAGGGTGGGGCCATTTTCTGTCCCCCCTCCTCATCGTCCTTCCTCGGCCTCTCTCTCCTAACCATCATCCCTCCCAATCCCCCACCATCATCATTGCCCCCCTCCTCCCATCTCCTCCTTGCACCTCCTCCCCCGCCTCCTCTGGAGGACGACGGCGACGACCAAGGCGAAGAAGACGACGGCAGCGGCGACGCCGCCGCCGACGACGACGACGGCCGTCTCTGGAGGCCTCCGCAGGCCCCCGGAGTCTTCTGAAGCCATCCGAAGGCCATTACATCCGAGGCGGGGATTTGGCCATAGCCACCGCCTGGGGGATCGATCTTCGGGGACGTCGGCAGGCGGCGTATGTGGTTATATTCGGCCCCCTGGGGCCTGGGGCCAAAGTATATCAACATCCACCGCCCCCTGGGGTCTCTTTGGTCGTCGGTCCACCAGGCGGTGTATGGCGTTCAAGGAAAACGCGGTGCCACAAGCGTTTAGGGGACCCCTTCGCATGACCCCCCTCTGACCCCCGGCCTTCATAGTGAACAAGCGTTCCCAGAGAAGCGGGCCAGAAAGATCTTGAGCCCGACATCTCTCGAGCGCAACACTCGCCGATGTGCAGGCCAGGGAGTGGAGGGGGGAATTCGGTTCTTTCTAGCTCGGGCGTCGTTGTTGCGAAGCGTTTCCTTCAGCCGTATGAATAAAGTCTGGGCCTTACATATTGGGTCGAAGTACATGGGGTCGGAGGATCGCGCCGCATCGCCGATGCATCGGCAATGCGGCACGATGTGGCGCCATCGCCCATCCATCGGCGATGTTTTGGCGATGCGGCGCCATACTCCGATCCCGTGTGCTCGGACCGCATTTGGGAGGCCTCGGAAGCCCCCGCCTCGCACCTCGAGGCCACCCCCGAGAAGGCCCTCCGAAGGCCCCCCCCTCCCGAGGAAGGGCCAGCTCCGAGGGCGGCGGCGGCGAGCAGCGGCGGCGGGCAGCGGCCGCGGCTGTGGGCAGGCGCCCCCGGCGGCGGCGCGCTCGTGGAGAGGACGTTGCGGGAGGCCCGCGCGGCGCCGCCCCGTCCTTTAGAAGATGGGGCAGCCTGTGGCGCAACCAGGGGGTGCCAGATTGAATCTCGGCGGCCGATCACGCAACCTATGACGCAGCCAGCAGGGGGCAGTCTTGTTCTCGGCGACCGAGCGCGCCACCCACGGCGCAACCACTTGAAGGCAGGTTGATCGGGGTCAGGGGCAACGTCGCAAAGGGGGATGGGCTCAGGGGGCTCGGGGTTTGAGATTTTCGGGCGCTGTCCTCGGCTCGGGCAGCGTCAGAGGGAGAACGGGCTCAGGGGGGGGAGGTCCTCCTTCCTCCGCCTCCCACTTCTCCCCCTCCGCCCCCTCCTCCTCCTCCTCCTCCTCCTCCTCCTCCTCCTCCTCCTCCTCCTCCTCCTCCTCCTCCTCCTCTTCCTCCTCCTCCTCCTCCTCCTCCTCCTCCGCCGCTTCCATCCACGTTCCTAATAGGTAACCCCCTCCTTGTCGTGCCCCCAGATATGTCGCTAGGGCGGGCCAGGCGTGTCGACGGAGAGTTCCTCACCACTCATAACCCGGAAGCTCGAAATCTGCACTAGGTTCACGGATGGAGGGCGGGTCGTCTTCAAGATGCGGTTATTGTTCCAGCGCCGCGCACATTCGTTATACAAGTTTGCAGCAGCTTCACGGGTGGAGGGCGTGTGGTTTTCAAAGTGTGGTTCTCACTCTAGCGCCTCGCACATTCGATGCCGACATTTGCAGCAGCTGCAAGGATCGTATGGCTGAGGTTCCAGAAAGGGTGTTGTGGCACGGTTTAGCACTGTCACGTCGCATCAGTCACGTTGGTTCGCGGTGTTGAAGTCCCAAGAACGACGTTCTGGCACGACTTGGGGTCGTCAGGACGCAGCAGTCCTGTTGCTCCGCGGCGTGGAAGTCCCAGGAAGTAGGTTCTGGCACGGCTGGGGATTCGCAGACGGTTGTCTTCTAATGGGCCACTTCCCGGAGTGCAGACAAGGTGTTGAAGGGACTTGTGAAAGGGGGAACTTGGATAGAGGGTTGATTGCAACATCGTTGATGCGTCTTGGATTTGCACTGGCCCTCCTCGGCTCGGGCAGTGTCAGAGGGAGAACGGCTCAGGGGGGGGGTCCTCCTTCCTCCGCCTCCCTCCTCCTCCTCCTCCTCCTCCTCCTCCTCCTCCTCCTCCTCCTCCTCCTCCTCCCTCCTCCTCCTCCTCCTCCTCCTCCTCCTCCTCCTCCTCCTCCCTCCTCCTTCCTCCTCCTCCTCCTCCTCCTCCTCCTCCTCCTCCTCCTCCTCCTCCTCCTCCTCCTCCTCCTCCTCCTCCTCCTCCTCCTCCTCCTCCTCCTCCTCCTCCTCCTCCTCCTCCTCTCCTCCTCCTCCTCCTCCTCCTCCTCCTCCTCCTCCTCCTCCTCCTCCTCCTCCTCCTCCTCCTCGGAACGACGGAGCAGCAGGACAGGGGCGACGGTAAGGGGGGGACAGGTTTCAGGGGAAGACGCATCGACCTCCCATCGCCAATTCATCGCCCGTAGGGCCCTGTAGCCCACCCGGCCCGGGAGGGTGCGGACACGCTATAGGAGCCTATCGGCGATGTATCGCCGACTCCAGGTCGATGTTTCCCCTCCTGAGCCGGTGCCCCGCATCGTTCCCCCCAGGGCCCAAGGGGAGGGAGAGGGGAGGGCCGAGAGTCGACTCTGACCGCTCGAGGTTCGCGGGCTTCCGGACTCTGCCTCGTGGGCTCCCCGAGGCTGTTTGCTCCGGGCCTCGGGGTTCAAGCAGTGGCGAAGCGTCCTGACTCGCCTATAGCCCGACCAAACAATGCTCTAAGAACCTGTTGTGGTTCCCACGAAATGCTCTTAGAACATTTCTGGTTGAGATTGTTGTTCTAACACATTGGTCTTAGGTTCTAAGAACATTGCTTCCCAGACATGCGACGTCCTGATTTTTCAGGACGGCGCCCCTGGAAATCTAGACCCTTTCCCTGGGGCCGGTTTTTCGTCCTGAGTCGTTTGTTGACGGTCCCGAGGCCCGGCGAGGGCCCCCAGGGGCCGAAAATAGCGAAAAACCTCCCGTCCTGATTTTTTTACGACGCCATCATGTCTGGGTTTTGTTCACAGAACATGTTTGGGTTCTGAGAGTACTTCGTGGCACAGGGCTATGTAGGACTGCCGGGACGGCCGGCCCCTGCTCCCGGGGGTGCTGCTCCCAGCGGCCGCGCCTCGCCGAGGGCCTTCCCGGGGTGCCCAGGTCGCCCCGATCAAACAGGGGCTCCCAGGAGGGCGCGAAGTTATTCGCGCTTCGCGCTTCGCCGTCCTCCTTCCTCCTCCCCCTCCTCCTCGTCCTCCTCTTCTCCCCCTTGGGGGGCGGCGCGAGGGCGCGAAGTTATTCGCGCTTCGCGCTTCGCGCAGCGCGAAGCGCGAAGTTGGGAGCCCTTGATAAAACAGGGTTGGGATCGGGATAAGTCGCTCCAGAGCGTTCCGGAGCGCTCGTAGGGCGTTCCGGAACGCTCTGGAGCGGCCGCGGCGCCCAACACATCCTCCCAAAGCGACGAGTCTCAGAGATTTCGAGTTATCCCTATCCGATTTTGTCCCGATCTTCGCGTCGTTTTACCCGAGCTGCCGCCGGAGGCCCGAGCCGCGGCCCGAGGCGCGGGCTTCACGCCGCGCCGTGGCGGCCTCGCGGCGGGCGGCGGGCGGCCCCGCTCGGCCGGGGGGGGGCCCCTTGGCGGGGGCCCCCGGGGGCCGTGCGAGGCCGACGCGGGCGGGAGAGCGGGCCGCCCGGCAGGCTGCCGAGGCCTTCCCTCGGGCAGGGCGACAGGGGGGGACAGGGGCAGGTGACGAAGCAACAACACACACCCATGCCCATAGGGGGATCGGAGAGGGCTATGAGTGCGTGTTGTCGGGTGGGGGTCCCCGCTCGAACGGGAGCGTTCCCCAGGGTCCGACGACCCGCACCCATACCCATAGCCAGTCCTCCTCCCAACGACCCCCCTATGGGTATGGGTGTGTGTTGTTAATTCGTCAACAGGGGGGTTACGAAGTCTGCTGTGCGCAGCCGGCTTCAGCCCCACCGAGGGGCCCAAGTCCTCGATGCACGGCCGCCTCCGGCGCCGGGAGGCGCCGGGAGAGTCAGTTGCGTGAGCTGGTTCTCAACCCCCCTTGGCTATCCCCCCCTTTCGCCCCGCGCCCGATTCACGCTCTGAAAAAAGCAGACACTCATGGCGAAGCTGGAACATATACATTACCAGTGGCGGGTTCTCTTTCAATCCCAGGATTGTTTGAGAGTCGGGGACGACGTCGGGGTGGTGTGGTGTATACCTGTTCCCCGTTTCCCCAGGGAAACAAAGAACAATGTATACACCAGGACCCCGTATACACCAGGATCCGGTTTCTCGTGAGAGTTTCCGTGCAGGGCTGGAAAAAGCGTTGGTGTATAGAGTTCGGTTCCCTAAGTCAGCTTGGCGAAGGACCCAACCATATGCAGATGTGAATGCCGCAGTTGTGGGTGTCATCTTCAGTGGTACTCCTGGTGGGGCCACGAGCCGCTGTACCGAGCGGGGGGAACGCAGGCGAACTTTGCCATTGGGGCCTTCGGTGGAGCTCCCTGCGGGGCCATGAAACGCTGTATTGGGTGGGGGAGACGCATACTGATGAGGACAGAGGCAAGGAGGAGAGGAGGAGGAGGGAAGAGGGGGAGGAGGAGAGGAGAGGAGGAGACGCGGGGCGCTGTCTCTTCAAAACGAGGACCCAACACCACAGGATGCTTGGGACAAGAGCAGCAAAGTCAAAATTTCCAAAAACGCTAGATCTGGGGAGGAGGAGGGGGAGAATGGTTTCCTCCTGCTTCTTGTTGTCCTGTGCCTCCTGCCCTCGAGGCGGCGCCAACGCTGGAGTTCGGGCGCGTGGGTTGGCGACGGGCCTCGTCTCCGTGCAGAATCGGCGCGCTCCGTCGCCAAATGAGGCGGCGCTGGCCTCGTGCTTCGGGGGCCGCCCTCCCTGATCAGTGGATCTTCGCTGCTTTGCTGCCCGCGCCCAGGCCAAACATCCGGGTCGCCGCGGCGGTCGCGGCCGCCACGGATCGGGGCGAGGTTTTTGTCGAGGAGCGGCATGCCCCTTCCCTAGCCCCCCCCCCCCAGCTCCGCGGTGCCGACGTGGCTGCACTGCCCACGGCAGGCGTGGCTCAACACTCACAGTATGGCGTCGGAGAGTTGCCAGCTCGTGCCCAGCATGGGCAGGCTTGCTTTTGCTTTGGCCAGTGGCTGGCTACCGCGCAACACCAAAGCTGGCGCCCACGCGCCGGCCCCACGGGCCCGCAAGCCGTGCCAGCCTGTTCCCGATACCCGCTGCTGGCGCCGTGGCTGGGCCAGCCCATCCTCCTTCTGCCCCTGCTGCTGCTGCTGCTCCTCCTCCACCTCCTCCTCCTCCTCCTCCACCTCCTCCTCCTCCTCCACTTCCTCCTCCTCCATCTCCTCCTCCTCCTCCTCCTCCTCCTCCTCCTCCTCCACCTCCTCCTCCTCCTCCTCCTCCTCCTCCTCCTCCTCCTCCTCCTCCTCCTCCTCCTCCCCCTCCTCCTCCTCCTCCTCCTCCTCCTCCTCGCCTGCCGTGGCAGCCCACGGCGCGCCTGCCCGCCTTGCGCCTTTGGTGCGGCAGCGGCACGGGCGCGGGCGAGTCGGGGCAGGCCCCCCCGCAGCGGGGCCCGTGCGGGAAGGAGTGGCCGACGCGGTGGCATGAAGCAGAGCTTGCGTACGTACACCGTCATGGCATGCATGTGCCGTGCGCACCAGGAACATTACAGCCCCGCTGGCTCAAAGCATGTGGTCATGACCCTATAGTTGAGCAGAGAGGGGGGGGGGGGGGGGGAAATTAGGTGTATAAAGCGCAAATACAAAGAGAGATACAGAGAAATAGAGAGAGAGGGAAAACAAAAAAAAGAGAGACAGTGGCCGATTGAGCGAGGGAGGAAATGAGGGGAGGAAGGAAGGAGGGCGTGGCTGAGCCGTAAGGATCCCTGTTCATCCTTCTTGTATTCCTCTTTCTGCCAATTCCTTGTGTTTTCAGCGCGTTCCGCCAGCCCCTGCTCAATATTCTTACTCTTCTGCGCGCCAGGCGGAGCTTGTCGTGGAAACCTTCAGGCCCGTGCAGCTAGAGGATGGGGGGGAGGAGGAGGAGGAGGAGGAGGAGGAGGAGGAGGAGGAGGAGGAGGAGGAGGGAAACGAAGAGGGAGGCGAGCAGGAAAGTGGGGGAGGCACGCGGGAGCCCAGCTTGAAAAGGTACCGCCCCCCATGCGTGTGACGATCGCACCCTTCACAGATCTTACCGACTATTGGGAGCAAGACCGAAGCGAAAGCTCTGGTTTGGAAAAGCAACCGCTATCAATTCATTGATACCGCTGCAGCTTGAGAGCGATTTACTCAAAAACCAGTGAAGTCTCAAGTGATAGCCTCACTGAGCCCCAGACGGGAACTCTCACGCAGAATTTGCAATATGTGGGTGATCATGGATATGGATTCCGCGAGAGTCGGTATCATTCGTTGCATATGATTCAATAGAACGCCCCCGAGGGGGTAGACACCGCCGCCCCATTGTTTTTAGAGCCGAGGAGGGCAAGCCGCCAGGACGGCCGCAATGAGGCCTGGAGAGCCCTCGGAAAGGCCGCCGGGAGGTCCCGAGAGTGGCCCAAAAAGGAACCAGAACGGGACGAGTGCTGTGGAGCGGTGCGGACGAGGGAAACGGGAGGGGGAACAAAAACACCGAAACTTAGCCTTCGAGTCCTGGAGAGGATCCCGGGGGCTCTCTGGGGGCGCCCCCGACGACCGAAAAAGTTGCCCAGAAGGCGTTCAGACAGATCGGCAGGGGGGCCGAGAGGCAATCAGGACGACCGCAGAGAGTATCCGCAGATTCTAGGATTGCCACACACACAAAAAAAAACAAGGAGGAGCCCAGGAAGATGCACAGGAGCTTTGAGAGAGGCGCAAAGAGAAGTCCGAAAAAGTTGGAGTCGTTAAAATCCGATGCGTTTCACCAGGTGGTTTGTTTTCCTGGGTTTGCAGATGCTTTGAACCCAAATGAAGGTGGAGAGGCATCCAGAACGGCCCAAATGATCAGCTCTGCAGAGAGGCATACAGAACGGCATCCAGACGGAGGGTCCTGTTCGCAGGACCCTTACGAGCAAGCCTTCCGTCGAGTGCACGATAGTGCTGAAGGTGCTGGGTGGTTTGCACAGGTGGGCCCCCGCCACGCACCATGGCGGCGACACCTGGGTACTGCTGAAGGACGTGCACGTTGGCTGCGCCAGGGGGGCGGTCCTTGAGACCTTCCGAGCCCAGCGCGAAGATGAGCCAACGAGGGCCCCGAGAGGCCCCCAGAAACCGGCCTGGGACGCTCCCGGAGAGGTCTCTGAGATAGGGAAACAACAAGTAACATAAACATAAAAACTCGAAGGTCCGCGCGGATTTCTCGGATCGGCGCTGGGCCCCCCCAGCGGCGCCTCCTGGGCCGCCCTTGGCGCGCTCCGCGCGCCAGGGAGGGGGGTCCAGCGCGGATCCGAGAAATCCGCGCGGACCTCCGAGTTTTTATGTTTATGTTATTTTTTGTTCCCCTATGAAAGGGCCCGGCGGCGCCCAGAAGCGTAGCACCGGAAATTGGGGCCGCTCTGGGACGGGAAGGGTGGCCAGAGGGCGCCCTGGCCGCGCCCGAGGCCCTCGGGCCGGCGGAATGAAGGGTCCGCGGGGGGGGGACCCCAGGAGGGGGTCGGAGAGGCTCATGGCCAGGGCCCCAGGTACGGGGACCCGGTTAGTGGTAGGACCCTGGAGCTTGTGAACTGGCCAGAATCACTAAACCAGGTTTGCCGTAGTTGGTGTTTTTGTTCGGGTGACGGCAGTTCTGGTTAGTGGAAATGGAACGGGGGGGCGCCCCCGGTACAGATCATTAAACCAGGTTCCACTAAACCCAGTTCTGCCAACGCCCGATCAAAGGCAGGGACAGGTATGAAAAATGCGTTGGTGAGAGGACTCACGATAAACAATCATGCGGTGGTGGTCTCACACGCCGTGCCTGGTGGGGTGGCGGATCGCTTCACTCGTTCCGCGGCCTACATTGTAGCATAGTTGGCACTTGCTTGCGTGCTCGCGGGGGAATGCTTGGAGCCTCAAGGAGCCTCTTGACGCATTTTGGGGGCCTCTTAGAGCAGGTCTTGGGTGTCTCTGGGAGCCTCTTGGGGGCCGTCTAGCAGTCTCGGAGGCCATCTTCGGGGAAAGGGCCCGACATGTGAATTCGTATTCCCACTCCTGGGGCCTCTTAGAGCATCTGGAGCCCTCTTGGGGGGCCTCCTGTGCCGTCTACGGTTGGGCTGTCTGGAGAATCTGGGGATGCCTCGGGACGATGTTGGGGTCGTCTTGGGCCGTGTGGGGCGGTCGGAAGACTGAAGAGGCGGCGACTCCAAAATCTGTCAAACATTTAAGCAAAATGTATGATTGCTGGCCTCGAGGAGCTCGCTTGGGGCAGTCTTGCCTTATTTCAGGGGCTAGCTCGAAGCATTTTGAGATTGTCTTCGGGCCGTGTTGGGGCCTGCCCCTCATGGATCCCGACTCGAGTGCACTGCCGGAGCTTCATTGGAGTCCTTTGGGGCGTTTTGGGGGCGCTCGTGGGGGTCCTGAAGATCGCTCCTGGGAGTTCCAGCAGCCGTGATGGGGATCGCCCAAGGACCGCCCTGGGGTATTTTTCGCCCAAGGGCCCACAGGGGCCGCCACGCGCTCGCAAACTAACGTAGTCTGAACCTCCCACTGGAGATTTTAGTAATTACGGCTCTGGCCCGCTGGGACCGCGAAGTTGGCCATCTTGGCGTCTACCTCGACTTTCCAGTTCGTTGGCGGCCAGCTTTCCCTTGAGTGCCACGTGCTCCGCCCCGTTGCCTGGGCTTGCCGTGACGGCAGATCCATCGCTGTTGGTCCCGTCTTTGGGGCCCTGTGGAGGCCTCGGGGGGCGTGTAGGGGGTCCCGTCTTTGGGGGGTGGGGCCCCGAAGTCCGCTTCGAGCTCCCTCTCTTGCGTCCCTCTGGGTCGCCTTATAGGAACTCCGCTGTATCCAGTTGTTGGCCACGGGTGCCCTCTTGGGATTCCCATGGCTGTCTTGAACGTTGCTAAGACCGATAAGATCCTTCTCCTCCTCCTCCTCCTCCTCCTCCTCCTCCTCCTCCTCCTCCTCCTCCTCCTCCTCCTGCCCCTCAACCTCCTCCTCCTCCTCCTCCTCCTCCTCCATCCTCATCCTCATCCTCATCCTCCTCCCTGCTTGACTCTCATGGCTGTCTTTGAACCCGCGAGTTTGCGGAAACCACAGGACATCGTGAGACTGTCCAGTGGCCGTGGTTCCCTGGGCCGGCCGCCCAGGGCCTCCCAGGACGGGCCCGAGACGCCAGGACGGCCCTCTGGGGCCACTGCAGGGCACGCTGTTGCGAGGGTGCACTCCCCACCACGTGGCCCTGCCACGGGGCCACTGCAGGGCACGTTGCGAGGGTGCACTCCCGCCCACGTGGCCCTGCCGCGGGTAGGTAGGCCTGGAAGTGCTGCAGTCGGTTCGAATGGGCCGGCCACCCGGGGCCTCCAAGACGGCCCAAGAGGGCAGGACGGCCCGTTTGGGCCGTGGCAGGACACGTTGCGAGCAGGCACTCCCCCTGCAAGGGGGGGCCCCCCTCCCTTGCAGCCGACGACGGCGAGCGCCCGCGCCAGCGACGCGCCGTAGGGCATCAACGACGACGACGACGACGACGACGACGACGACGACGACGACCACGTGGCCCTGGCAAAGGTAAGGGGACCTGGAAGTGCTGTACCCGCTTCGAGCCCGGTGTCTCTCCCACGCGAGGTGGTCCTCGGAGGGACGGGGCAGTTTGGGCGCGCGTGCACCACGGGGCGCGCAGGTGGTCGGAACAGCCTGCTGCTCCACAGCGCTCCCGGACACAACGCTCTTGGTATGAGACCGCATTCCATACTCGAGTTTGCGACATGTTACAGACATGCCCGACGCGAAGACACAGCGTTCGGAAGCGCTCACGCGGGGGCAATGTGAACGTCGTGCATTCGATAAGTATAATGTAACTGGCACCAGTTAGAGTTACAAGGAGGTCTTGCCCGTTAAGAAGCCGTCGTCCATACGTGCAATTGTTGAAATAGTTTCAGTGTCTTCGGTTTTTCCCGGAAAGGGCTCCGGCCCAGGGTTCTCTTTTAGTTTGTAAACTAGTCCCCCGGTGCCTGCTTGAAGGAGGCCGGCGAATTGCCCGCGAATTTTTTCCCTGATAAATAACGAGGTTGAAGGAGGCCGGCGAATTGCCGGCGAATTAAAATTTAAGGATGTCTCGAGCGAAACGCTTGTTTTTCAGAATTTGTCGAGGATGTCTCGAGCGAAACGCTTGTTTTTCAGAGTTTTGGATGTCTCGAGCGAAACGCTTGTTTTCAGAATTTGCTGAGGATGTCTCAAGCGAAACGCTGGTTTTGCAGAGCCGACCGCGACGCGGAAAAGCGCCCCGCGCGAAGGAATTTCGATGATGTCTCGACTAATTCGTTTGTTTTTGTACGATTTCCTGGAATTTTGGCAGGATGTCTCGAGCGAAATGCACGACCCCACCCTAGCACGACCATACCCCAGCACGACCACACCCCAGCACGACCAGACCCCAGCACGACCCCACCCCAGCACGACCCCACCCCAGCACGACCATACCCCAGCACGACCACACCCCAGCACGACCCGACCGCAGCACGAGCACGCCCCAGCACCACACCACACAGCACGACCACACCCCAGCACGACCTCACCCCAGCACGACCACACCCCAGCACGACCACGCCCCAGCACGACCACGCCCCAGCACGACCACGCCCCAGCACGACCACCCCCCAGCACGACCACCCCCCCAGCACGACCACACCCCAGCACGACCACCCCCAGCACGACCACACCCCAGCACGACCACACCCCAGCACGACCACACCCAGCCCCGTGGAATGTTTGTGGCGTGGAATGTTTCGTGAATGGGATGTTTCGTGTGTCTCGTGGGGTGCGGGGTGTCTCGTGGGATGTTTCGTGAGATGTCGCCCAGTTGGGTATCGTGAAAACGTGACCATGCTGCACATGTCTTTATCCCTTTCCGGGTTCGTGGGTCCATCATTTGTGGAAGTCGCAAGCGAGAGCTTCATTCCGATAACGGACTGTGCTGACGTAGCCCGTCCTAGTAAATACGTCCGTCCTGAAGCGCTTGTGCTGTCCATCCTTGTCATTACGCAATTGTTGGGGATTCAGTTTCATGAGCATGCAGTGTGACGAAGTCTGATGCGATACTTCGATTCTGGAAACGAGCCACCCTCCATCCGCGTAGCGATCGGAGGCCTTGAGCGTCAGAGCCATAGTCAGTTGAGAAATCTCAGGCAGTAATGGGCAAGCTTGATTCTGAAAACGAGCCGTCCTTCGTTGGTGCGTACGCCGGGTTGCAAGCTTCAGGGTCATGGTGCGTGATGAAGGCTCAAGCGAATCGCCCAGCCTACCCTACAGGCACGTCTGGTGGAGCGACGCATGGGCGTTACCCCTCGTCCTCCAGGAAAGAACCGGGGAGGGGAGGGGGGGCCGACGGGACCCTGGCCGGGAGGGGGGGCGGTAATCTGACCCGGAACCCTTACCCCCCCTCCCCCCCTGGTACCCGCCTTGTTAGTTACCCCCCCCTCGTACCCTCCCCGCCCCCCCCCCCGTCAGGGAGGGGAATAGGGGGGGGGAATCGACTTGAGTACGACGTTTCTTTCTTTGTTCGTTCCTAAATTTCCTTGGGACTGGCGATGACGACGACGACGACGACGACGACGATGACGACGACGACGACGCGACGACGACGACGACGACGACGACGACGACGACGACGACGACGACAGGGGTCGGCGGATTTTCAGGGTTGTCTTCTTAAGAGGGTTTTTTGCGGCCGCGTCGGCTTCGTAGGGGAGTGGGTGCCCCACCGCGTCGGGAGCCTATCGGCGATACATCCGTTGTGAATCGGCGGCTCCAGGACGATTGTTACCCCGCTCCACACATCACCCACATGTTGATTCCCGCAACCGAGAGGAGGAGCAGCAGTTGTAGCATGCGGGAGCTCTCGACATAATCCCCATGGGACGTGTTGTATGTCGCGTGTCGTTTGGCAGGCCCCAGCGCCCCACAACGAACACCCAGGACGTTAAACGTGTGGAAGAAATGTGTAGTTGTGTTGTTTGTTCGCGACGTTGGAGGTTTGGCCTTTTGAGCCACAACGTAGCCCACATAGGGCCAGTCGGTGCATCCAGACCACAGCTTTGAAGCTCTCGTCAAACTCTATCTGTTGGAAGGGGTCCCGACCTCCGAAAACCGTCACAGACTAAATGGCACTGCATTGGCGCGAGGACCCCAGGCAGCGGTGCTGTGCAGCCTGCGGAGGTGCATTCCAAGCGGTGCCATCTGTGGGAGGGGCCTTGCTGCAATCTTTTCGCGAATAGGCAATTCCTCAGTGGGCTCTGTCATTGAACAACACATACGGTGGGGGCGTTGGTTCAGGAACGTGCCCAGGAGGCGCCAGACCCTGAAGGATTCCTTTTCCAATGAGGTCGGCGGTGATCTCCATGGCCGATCCACGATTGGAGTTCCACTGGCTTCCAGACCCTGGATTCCTTATCTGAGGGCGCCAGCGCGGCAGCGGCGGGGCTGATCATGCCGCCCCTCGCCTCGGTCCTGCGCGCCCACGGGTTCGGCGCCGCCGACGAGGAGCGGGCGCGCGGGCTGCAGGCGCGAGAGGCGCGGGCGGCTGCGGCGCGCGGGAGGGCGGCGCCGAGCTGGGCCCAGAATTGACCTATATGCGCGGGCCCTTTGGGGCCCTTGAAGTGCAGAAAACAAAAAAACAAAAGCACAAAAACCAAAAACGCCAAAACACACACACACACACACACACACACACACAAAACAACAACAACAACAACAACAACAACAACAACAACAACAACAACAACAACAACAACAACAACAAACAAAAAAAAATGCCCCCACCGTACATGGGGAGATCGCTGCGGGGACCCCCTCCTCCGACCACCCCCGGGGGAGGTCCTCGCCAGGGCCCCCGGCGGCCCGCTCCGCTGGGCAGAGGAGCGGGAGATCGGGCGGCCCGGGCCAAGTCTCTCGGGCGTTGCCGCGTGCCCCCCCTGCACCAACCCCTCCTCCTCCTCCTCCTCCTCCTCCTCTTCCTCCTCCTCCTCCTCCTCCTCCTCCTCCTCCTCCTCCTCCTCCTCCCCCCCGCCTCCTCCTCCTCCCTCGGATCGGGGGGGAAACAAGTGGCACGCGTGCCCTGGCTCGTGCACAGTCACGAAGGACGGGGGGACCAGGACGAGCCACGAGCCACCAACAGAAAGGGTTCCGCGACCCAGGGGAGCTGTCCAGGGAGGCCATGGGGAGCCAGGAAGCCAGGGGGGAGGCCAGGGGAAGAGGACAAACCAGGGGAGGAGGACGAACCACGAACCCACGAAAATAAAGCGGTCCGAGCTCTAGAACACAGTTGTGCAAGAGAAGAAGTCGGAAACTGGAGTATGTACATGACCAGTGGCGGGGTGCTCTTCAATCCCAGGAGTTTGCAAGGGTCGGGCGGGGACGACGTCGGGGCGGTGTGATGTATACATGTTGTCCCCATTTTCCCCAGGAAACAACGGAAAAAGTGTACACCAGGATCCCGTATACACCAGGATCCGCTTTCCTGGGCAACTTTCAGTGCAGGGCCGCAAAAAGCGTCGGTGTATAGGGTTGTGCTCCCTACTAAGAAGGAGAAGGCCTTCTCAGAAGGTTCGGAGGTCCCCCAGCCTTCCAAGAAGTTTTTGTTCCGCCTCCGGGAAGGCTTCGAAAATTTGTCAGAAGGCCTGGGGACTTCTGAACCTTCTGGGGAGGCCTTCTCCTTCTCACTTCCCCCCCTCGCTCGCCGCCGACCAGACGGTGTCCCCAGCTTTTCACGCCATGTCGGAGGCCTTGGGGCCCTTCGGGCCTCGTGAAGGGTGCTCTGGAGGCCGTGCGGGCCTCCTTTGAACTCCCAGGGGCACGCCTCTGGCAACGCCCGAATTCATCACCGAGCAGGCAGGAACCCCCCAGTGCAAGCGCTGGCCAGGGAACGTTGCGAAAACCTCCGGGAAGCTCCGCGCAGCTGGAGTCCCCCTCCTGCAGCAGCGCGCCGACCCCCGCCGACCTGGCAGTTCGAAGGCCGCCAGGCGTGAGGCATCTCTCCTCTCTCGCCTCGTCCTTCGTTCCCGCTCCGTGCTCGTGTCTTCGTCGTCCTCCTTTTCCTCCGCGCAGAAGGGGGAGAAGAACAAATAGGAGGCGGAGGAGGAGGAAGAGGAGGAAGGGGAAGGAGAGGCAGCAGCAGCAGCAGCAGCAGCAGGAGCATGAAGATAAGAGGCTCTGTGACCGAAGCCACCATCGGCCCGCAGCGGCGGGCGTGGAGCTTCTCAGATGGCGCGGCTGAACTCCCTAAGAAAAAACTAATCCGTAGAAGAAGACGAGCGCCGCTTCCGCGACCACGAAAACGCCGAAGACGCCTCCCAGCGGCTCCCTTGGCGCTCTCTCCAAAGGGTGGGGAGGTGGGGTACCGACCTCCCGAAGAGGCGTGCTCGCCCTGCTCCCCAATTAGGAGGAGCCCGAGGCCAGCAAATGTTCATGAACACGAAGGAGTCCACAACCAGGAGGTCGCGGGTGCACGGGGAGCCCAGCCGCAGCCAGCGCGACTTCTGCAGCTCGCAGCTGTCTCGGGCGGCTTCGAGTGCAGCGAGCTCTGGAGCCGCACGCCCAGGGCGACGCGCCCGCGTCGTCGATAAGCTGACTCCGACTCGGACGCGAGCCGCACCTCACCCAGGAGCCGCCGTACTCGCTGGGGCCAGCGTGCTGGCCTCGACTGCGCGCACGCGCGGGGCGGCACCAGCCTCCGCCTCATCCGCCAGGCCGCGGAGCTCCGCGAGCTCGCCGCCCAAGCTCGTCGAGCCGCTCGCTGCCCCGCCTCCGAGGGCGGGGCAGCATCGGCCGCCAGGGACCCGCAGCGCCGCGAGCTCGGCGTCGCTGGGCGCGAATAGATTGATGGGGGCGAGGAACCCTAAATAATGAACGAGGCCCCTTTTTTCCATAGGTTAAACTTCGATTTCCTATCGAAAACATAAGGATAACCTGAGGCAAGCTGTGAAACACTTAAGGAACGCGGAGCCCCTCCCCAACCAAAAGGGTTCCTGCTTCAGGGCCCCGACTGTAAGTGGAAGGGGGGAAGAGAGGCGCCCTTCTCGGGCCCTGGAGGCCCCCTTCTGGGCCTCACGAGGCCCCTTTTCGGCAGCCTTCGCTGCCCCCCTCGTCTCTCGCCCCCCCCCCTTGCTTCTCGCCCCCTTGCTTAAAACGCCGCCCGACGTCGCTGTGCAGCACGTCCAGGCTGGACGACGCGAGGCCGAAGGCGCTGCCCGGGGCGCCGGCACCGGAAGCTGCGCCCACTTTTGTGCCGGCCGCTGGCGGGCGAGCCTGCGCGGGCGAAGGGGGGGCGGGGAGGCCTCGGCGGCAGCCGCCGGCGCGCCAGCCGGCGCCGCGTGGAGAGCCTAAGGCGAAGCGCGGGAGGCTCTGGCCCAGCGGCCGTCCATCGCGGCGAGCGCCGGCAGGGGCGCCCGGCCGCCCGCCCCGCGGCGCGGGGCGTGCTGGGCGCGGCGCACCGCGGCAGAGCGACTGGGTCGGCGAGGCCGCGGCGCCGCGGCGGCAGCCGCCGTCATCGCCCGCGGGCCGCGGGGGGGGGAGGGAGGAGGGGGCCGAGAGTCCGAGGGCGGCGCGCGAGCGCCCGTGGCGCGGACTCGCAGCGAGCCCGCGGGCTCGGGCCGAGCTGGCGCTGAGGAGGAGGCGGAGGAGGAGGAGGAGGAGGAGGAGGACGAACTAGGAGGAGGAGGAGAGAGAGAGGAGGAGGAGGAGGAGGAGGAGGCGAGAGGAACAGGAGGAGGAGGAGGAGGAGGAGGAGGAGGAGAAGGAGCAGGAGGAGGAGGAAGAGGAGGAGGAGGAGAAACTGGAAAGAGCTGAAGCCCCCCCCCCTCCTGGCAGCCGCGGCAGGCTGGCGGCGCGGGCGTCCGCGCCCGACGCCGCCCCGCCGCAGCTGCGCGTTCGCCTCGCGAGCCTCCAGCGCCCGCAGTGTCCCAGCCCCAGGAGCTCTGCGACGCCCCGTCGGCTGGCCCGCCGCGCCGATATCACTGCCGCCGCCGCCGCCCCCGCCCGCCGCAGCTGCGCGTACACCTCGCCAGCCGGTGTCCGAGCCCCGGGGGGCTCTGTGCCACCTAGAATCGCGCAGTCTTGGGGGCTTCCTGGGCCCTCTTTTGGAGCCTCGGGGGCCGTCTTGTGACAATCTTGGAGGCCTCCCAGGCCGTCTTGGACTCTCATCAAGACCGAAGAGCCGGGCATGCGAAGGTCGTGCAAAAACCCTAGGCTGTTGAGTGATGTTGGCCTTTTGGGCCAGCCACCGGGTGCCTCAAGACGGCCCAAGAGGCTCTCAAGGAGCCACTGGAGAGGAGAAGCAGGAGGAGGAGCAGGATCGGGCTCACGTAACGGGGTTCAGCGCTAACGGCAGTCGGCCAATCCCCTCCGGCTGGCTTGGGTTTGGGAGCCACGTGGGGCCGATTCCTCTTCTTTGCCCTCAGGTGGCCCAGGCTTGGGAGCTACTAAGCGACCAGCTGGGCTTCGCGACAGTGCCCTGGCCGACCCGGGTTTGCGCTGACCCGGCTTAGTGCGTCCCCGACGGAAGAAGAAACAACGGCATACATATAAATGTTCAGAGCTCCGCGCCAGTTTCTTTGAAGCTGCGCCGAGGCCCCCTGGCGGCGCATCCGACGCCGCCTCTGGCGCGCTCCGCTCGCCAGATAGGGGGGCCCAGCGCAGTTCTAAAGAAATTCGCGCGGAGCTCCGAAAGTTTATGGTTATGCCATTGTTGCTTCCTCTACTGCCCCGTCTGCCCGCCACCGCGTCGTCATCACTGTCGCCGCTGCCCCCGCCCGCCGCAGCTGCGCATGAGCCTCGCGAGAGTCGGGCGCCCGCAGTGTCCGAGTCCTGGGGCTTCGCTCCGCCCCGCCCGCTGCCACCACGTCGTCGTCGTCGTCGACGTTGGAAGCGAGTCTTACGGTCAGGAACTTTGGGATGCCGTGTCGCTCCACCAGTCCTGCCCACCACGCTTCGGCGCGACGCGCCAGCTCACAGTCCCCAGGCGTCAGCGTCCCGAGCTGTGCCTCCCGCCTCGCGGAGCGGAGCGACGCGCTATCCGCTCGCAAGGCATGGCGTGTCGCTGGGGCCGCCGCCGCGGCACGCTATGCTGACCGCAGTCGGTGGCCGCTGGTCCACACGAATCGGGTGTTGCCAGAGGTGTCCCTAGCCCACGGTGCCCCCAGGATGCCCAAGAAGGCGCCCCCCACGAGGCCCAGAGGGCCCCGGGGCCTTCAAAGAGTGCCCCAGGTGCTTCAGAGAAAAGAGCGGAAGGATGGGGGACGCCGTGGGCTGGGACACTTTCGGCAGCCCCCTGACGAAAAACTGAGCCGTGCTACTGCGGCGTTCCTCGAGGGCACCAGAGCCAGAGGTGCCTAAGCCCACCTCGGCATCGGCTCAGATGAATGAGGGCATTCAAGCGAGGGCCTCGCCTTCAAGTATGGAAGGAGTTGATGCCTCGTCGTCGGCGGAAGGCGGCGGAAGGTCGACGGAAGCTGGCGGAAGTGAGACGAGGGCCGGCTCCGCCGTGGGAAGCCGGCGGAAGGAAGCATCGGCATCCCAAGGGATGGCGAGGTGTTTTGGTGCAGGGTTTTCCCAATTTTGTCAAAGAGTGTTTGAGAGCGATTCGCGGGTTCCTTGAGTAGATTGGCGATGTTTCAGAATGCTTGTTTCGTGGCCCCATGGGGAGCTCCACCGAAGGTCCCAGTGCTACCGTCCGCATGCGTCCCGCACACCCAGTACAGCATTTCGTGGCCCTCCTCCCCCTCCTCCCTGCGTTTTCACCCACCCAGTACAGCGTTTCGTGGCCCCATAGAGCGCCCCATCGAAGGTCCCAGTGCTACCGTTCGCATGCGTCCCGCACACCCTGTACAGCGTTTCGTGGCCCCATGGGGAGCCCCACCGAAGGTCCCAGCGCTACCGTCCGCATGCGTCCCGCACACCCAGCACAGCGTTTCGTGGCCCTTCCCCTCCTCCCTGCGTTTCACCCACCCAGTACAGCGCTTCGTGGCCCCATAGGAAGCTCCACCGAAGGCCCCAGTGCCCCCGTCCGCATGCGTCCCGGAAGCCCAATTTGGCATTTTCACCCACCCAGTGCAGCGTTTCGTGGCCCCATAGGGGGCTCCACCCAAGGCCCCAGTGCCACCGTCCGCACGCGTCAGGGAAATGTAATTTGGCATTTTCACTCACCCAGTGCAGCGTTTCGTGGCCCCATAAGGGGGCTCCACCGAAGCCCCCAGTGGGACCGTCCGCATGCGTCCCGGTAACCCAATTTGGCATTTCCACTCACTCAGTACAGCGATTCGTGGCCCCATAGGGAGCTCCACCGAAGCCCTCACTGGGACAGTCCGCATGCGTCCCGGAAACCCAATTCGGCACACCACCCACACAGTAGAGCGTTCCCCCCCGCCCAGTGCAGCGCTTCGTGGCCCCATAGGAAGCTTCTCCGAAGCAGATATTCACAATTACGGTACCCACAACTGCATATGGTTGGGACCTTCGCCAGGATAATTTCAAAATGCTGCTGCGCTGGCCCCATTCTGCGCCTCTGGTTGTTCCAAATCGTGCTCCCGCTGCAGCGCGGGCGTGTTCGGTCCTTCTAAATAGTGCCCAAAATTAAGAAAATTGCCCCCCGAAAAATCCATCGGAAGCGATTGCACATTCGATGTCGATTCGTTGGGGCGTCGTCGTTTTCAAGAAGTATTAAGCGGTTTCTGCTTTGAGAAGGCGATGCTGAAAGCAGAGCCAGCGGGTGCTCTCCATCAGCCCCGCCTTGTGTGGAGCTTTTCGGGGAACCCAAGGAGTTAGACATGGAGCCGCCACGATTCCAGACTGACCCAGACCTCTCGAAGAAGATCCACTAACCCTCCAAGGAACCGGGCGCCATGCCATGACATGCTGTGCGGTGTTGTGTTCTGCGCCGCTGTGCGATGCCATGTTTAGCGTTGCAATGTTTTGTGATGTAATGCTTCACTGCGTAATGCCACGCCATGCTATGGCATGCTACAGTCTGCCGTGCTCTTCTACGCCATGCCATGTCATGCTCTACCATGCATCGCGTACCATGCTCGACATCCGATTGTGCGACTAGAGAGGAGATCTACGCCATAGTAAGGGATGGGAGGGAGGGGTAGGGCATCAGGTATGACGCGAGCGCACCTAGTTTGCCCTCCTCCCCCTTTCCCTCCCCGCCTCCCCCCCTCCCCCTTCCCATCCCCCCCCCCTCCTCCTCACTCCTCCTCCCTCCTCCTCCTCCTCCTCCTCCTCGCCTCCTCCTCCTCCTCCCCTCCCTCCGTCCTCCTCCTTCCTCCTCCTTCCTCCTTCCTCCTCCTCCCTCCTCCTCCTCCTCCTCCTCCTCCTCCTCCTCCCTCCCCTCCGCCTCCGCCATCCTCTCCCCCTTCCTCCTCCTCTCCTCCTCCTCCTCCTCCTCTCCTCCTCCTCCTCCTCCTCCTCCTCCTCCTCCTCCTCCCCCTCCTCCCCTCTCCCTCCTCCTCTCCTCCTCCCCTCCTCCTCCTCCTCCTCCTCCTCCCTCCTCCCTCCCCCTCCTCCCCCTCCTCCCCCATCCCTCCCCCTCCTCCTCCTCCTCCTCCTCCTCCTCCTCCTCCTGCCCCTCCTCCTCCTCCTCCTCCTCCTCCTCCTCCTCCTCCTCCTCCGCCTCCTCCTCCTCCTCCTCCCCCCACCTCCTCCGCCTCCCTCTCTCTCTCTCTTTCTCTCTTCTCTCTCTCTCTCTCTCTCTCTCGTCTCTCTCTCTCTCTCTCCTCCTCTCTCTCCTCCTTCCCCCCTTCCTCCTCAACAATTACACAATATGAGAATGTACTACTCTCCTCTCTCGCTTGATGACGTCCGGAAGATGTTCGCCCCCCTTTCCGCGTATGGTTGTTTCTATTGGATTCCCGGGAGTTGGGTTTTCGCCTGGGGTTGTTTTCAAATTGTTGTTTCCGCTGAAGCGCTTGCCTCATGTTCGAGTTTCCGCTCGTTCGGAATCGTGCTCCCGCCGCAGCGTTGGCCTCATTTCCGCGCTTCCGCTCGTTCCGAATCGTGCTCCCGCTGCAGCACTGGCCTCATCTCCGCGCTTCCACTCGTTCCGAATCGTGTTCCTGCTACAGCGCTGGCGTCATTATTTCCAGTGCCATGCCACGGCATGCAATGCAATGCTATGTGGTGTTCCGCTGCGCGATGCCATGCCTTCAGCTGAAATGCTAGGATATGCAGTGCTTGACTACGCCAAGCAATGCCATGCTACGCTTTGATCTTCGACGCCATGCTATGCCATGTTTTGTTATGTACCGCTACGCGATGCCATTATTTGCGTTGCAACGCTTTGCGATGCAATTCTTCACTACGCAATGCCACGCCATGCCATAACATACTACGTTCTGCCGTGTTGTTCTACGCCGTGCTATGCCGTGGTCTACGCATCGCGCACCCGCTCGGGATCACTGCCCTGCTCGACATCCGACTGTGCGAATAGAGAGGAGATCTACGCTATGGTAAGGGATGGGAGGGAGGGGTAGGGCGTCAGATATGACGCGAGCGCACCTAGCTTGTCCTCCTCCCTGCCCTCCTCGCCCTCTCTCCCTCCCTCCCACCCTCCCTCCCTCCCTCCTCCTCCTCCTCCCTCCCCTCCCCTCCCCTCCCCTCCCCTCCCCCTCCTCCCTCCCCTCCCATCCCCTCCCTCCCTCCCCTCCCCTCCCTCCCCCTCCTCCTCCATCCTCCTCCTCCTCCTTCCTCCTCCTCCTCCTCCTCCTCCTCCTCCTCCTCCTCCTCCTCCTCCTCCTCCTCCCTCCTCTCCTCGTCTCTCCTCCTCCTCCTCCTCCTCCTCCTCCCCTCCCCTCCTCCTCCTCCATCCCCCCCCCTCCCCCTCGCCCCCTGGCGCTTGGCGCCGAGGCCCGCGGCTTCACTGGGACGACGTGCCGCTCCGCGCAGTGGCCGCCCTGACCGGGCCGGGCACGGAGGTGCTCCCCGAGGAGGCCGCGCGCGCTTCCGCTCCCGCCGCCAGGCGGCGAGGACGACGACGAAGAGCGACGACGACGACGACGACGACGACGACGACGACGACGACGACGACGACGAAGACGACGACGACGACGACGACGACGACGACGACGACGACCCATCCTGGGCTTCGGCTTCCTCACAAGGCGCCTCGCGCCGTGCCCCGCGCGCGCCGCGGGCGCGCCCACAGACGGAGGCGGCCCCCAAGCGGTGCGGTGACCACACCGCGTGGTGAGTCGGTGGGGCTTCGGGATTTTTGGGCGCGTCTTCGTCGGCTCCTGTGGGGGGTCCTCCTGCCTCGGGGTGCGTTGCGGTGCGCCTCGCCGAGAGCGTTCTGGGGATGCCTGGATTGTCCCGAGCGGCCGCCGGAGACCCGAGCTACGGCCGGGAAAGACCAGAGATTCGGAGGAAGGCAGGTGTGGTGAGTCAGTGGGGACTCGGGGTCACCGCACGGCTTTGGGACTCGCTCGGGTCGTTCTCTGGGGGCGTCTCGGGCGAGAGGGGGCCTCCGAGGTCCCAAGACCGTGGGGTGACGGACCGCGCGGTGAGGTGTGCGCGGCGCTTACGCGAGAGTCACATGTTGAAAACCACCCGCCCTCCATCTTTGAAACTGTTACAAAATTCAAGCTTCAGGGTCCTAAGTAGTGAGGAAGTCTCAAGTGAAACGCCCAGCCAGCCCTACCGACACGTCTGGGGGCACGACAGGGAGGAGGCATTTATACGGAGAAGGGATGGAGGAGGAGGAGGAGGAAAAGAAGAGGGAGGAGGAGGGGGGCGGGGAGGACGAGGAACACGACGATGTTTAGGAAGAGGAGGAGGAGGAGGAGGAGGAGGAGGAGGAGGAGGAGGAGGAGGAGGAGGAGGAGGGGGAGGGGGAGAAGGGAGGAAGAGCGGGAGGATCCTGACTGGACTAACTAACAGCACGGAGGAGGAGAAGGAGGAGTAGGGGCTGGTGCACGAGGGTGGAGGAGGGAGAAGAGGAGGAGGAGGAGGAGGAGGAGGAGGAGGAGGACGAAAACGGGAATGAGGGATCGGGCGTGGGAGAGGAGAGAGAGGGAGGAGGCAAGCTAGGTGCGGTCGCGCTACGTCTGACATCCAAGCCCTCCCACCCATCCCTTCCCGTTGCTTTGAATCCTCTTCTATCCGCCGACTGCAGTGTCCTAGAAGACCCTGATCCCCAGATGGCACCTGCAGGACCTACCCCTCGTTTGCTAAGCTAACCGGGGCGGGGGAACTCTTGAACGTAGATCGGTGGAGGAGGGGGAGAGGAGGTGGATTGCAACGAAGGATTGCAAAAAAAAAAAGGATTGCAAACAAAACGAAGGATTGCAAAAAAACCCTTCGAAGGATTGCAAAAAAACGAAGCATTGCAATCCTTGGTTTGTTTGCAATCCTTCGGTTTTTTGCAATCCTTCGTTCGAGAGGAGGTGGAGGTGGAGGAAGAGCAGGAGAAGCACGAGGGTCAGGGGGAAAGGGGAAAGATGGGAGCGCGAAGGGGGACGGCAACGACGAGGAGGGATGCGGCTCCACAGACGTGGCCCGCGCCTGGCCAGGGCACCATGCTGAACGGCGGGAGCAGAGCACCCGTCCTGACATGTGGCCATCGCTGCAGCAGAAGCAAGGGGGTTTGTCCACAACTCCGATCGAGAATGTATAAATATATATATATATATAATATATTATATATTTATATATATATTATACACACCTATATATATATATATACATATATATATATATATACATATATATACACACGTATACACACTTATGCACAGGAACAGAAAGCGAGAGATAGAGAGAGAGAGAGAAAAAAAGAAAGAAGAACAAAAAAGGCAATAACAACAGCAGCAAAAACAACAACCGAAACAACAACAACAACAACAACAACAACAACAACAACACCAACAACAACAACCACAACCACAACCACAACCACAACTATCATTATAAGGCTGTTCGCTCTTACTTGCCCGTGTGTCATTCCAAACGAGTTCCCCACACCCTCGATACCAGCCCTTTTTGTCTTCGATCACACACCCCTTTGGGGGGGATTACTTCTTTTTGCGGGGGGGTGGTGGGTTTAGACAAGCGGGCAAACCTGAACGGGTGGACAATCTCTCGTGGGCGCACATGTGCCCGCCATTGGAATTGGTGTGGGCCCTGCAAAAAAAGAGGAGGGGGAGAACGAGGGAGAGTGGGAGGAAGGGAGGGGGAGGGACGAAGGAAGAGGAAAAACGCCAGGAGAGAAGGAGCGAAGATGGGGGCGGTTGATTAGAGGTGGAGAGAGAGAGAGAGAGAGAACAAACAAAAAGAAAAAAAAGAGAGAGAGACAGAGAGGAACACAACAACAACAACAAGCCTCAGATGAGAGAGGTAGAGAAACAGAGAAAGAGGGGGGAGAGAGAGAGAGAGAGAGGGAAAGAAAGAAAGAGGGAGGGAGGAGGCAGGAGTGGGGAGGGAGAAGGGAGGAGGGAGAGGAAGGAGAGGGGATAGGGCAGAGAGGCATGAGGATGAGGGAAGAGTGGACAGAGAGAAAAGCGAGGAGAAGAGGGAGGAGGGAGGAGGGAGGAGGGAGAGGGAGGAGGAGCAGGAAGGTAAGAGCGCGAACGTTCGAGGAAGTCCTACGCGAAAGCGCCTTTCCTGAAGGAAGTCTCGGGCGGAAGCCCGCGACGGGCGGGCGATCCCCTGACAGGCGGGTCGGGCGGATGGGACATTCAAGCGGGATGCCTGCGTATGGCCAGAGCGCGATTCCTAAGTAAATCGCGACGGCGTCCTTGGCGCAGCGTGTTTCCTGAGCGTCGAAAGCGCGATTTCGGAATAAATTGCATGGAGGCCACAGGCGGGAGCGCAATTCTTGAATAAAATGTGAGGGGTTCTCTGGCGGGAGCGGGGGTCTTGATTAGATTGCGAGGAAGTCTTGATTCAATAGCGAGGAAGTCTCAAGTGGGAGCGCCGTTCTTGAGTAAACTTGTGAGGAGGTCTCAGATGACGGCGGGGGTCCTGATTAAACTGCGAGGAAGTCATCGGCGGGAGCACCGATCCTGAGCAAATTGTGAGGAAGTCTCCGGCGGGAGCGGGGGTCCTGAGTAAATTTGGAGGAAGTCTCAGGCGGGAGCCGTTGTTGTTGCAATCCGGGGGGGCCAGGGGCACAGTTTGAGCACGAAGACTTTCCATGTCAAAAAACAGGGTGCGAGCGTCGAGGGGCACAGTTTGATTGAGAAAAACAGCATGCACCGGTGAGGGGGGATCAGCAATTAATATTCTTCAGAAAGGAGAGTTCAACAACAACAACAACAACAACAACAACAACAACAACAACAACCACAACCACAACCACAACAACAACAACAACAAAAACAAAAACAACAACAATGAATTAAGACTGTTCGCCCTTATTTGCTCGAGTGTCCAATAACGCGTATTTCCCAAACCCTCGATACCCGCCCTCTTCGTCTTCGATCGAATTCTTTTTGAGGGGTATACCTTTCTTCCCTGCAGGCCGGGCCCCGGCAAGCGGCGGGGCGGCCGCGGACCGTCGGCCTGGCCAGCAGCAGCGCTGATCGGCGGGGCGGCCGCGGACCGTCGACCCGACCCCAAGAGGGACGAACAGGGGACCGACGACGACGACGACGACGACGACGACGACGGTGACGACGACGACGACGACGGCGACGACGATGACGACGACGACGACGAGCGAAAGCGAGATCGAGAGAGAACGACAGCAGGGCCACAAGGACACGAAGTAGGCCACGAAGGGCGACAGCGGGGACACGAAGGGAATGCGTATGGGGCCACGAAGAGCGCGAACGATCGGGGGCCACGAAGGGCATACGTATATTGGGCCGCGGAGGGCAAGGACGGGGCCACTGAGGGCAGCAACGGGGCCACGAAGGGCAGCGAGGGGGCCACGAAGGGCGACAACGGGGCCACGAAGGGCAGGAAGGGGGCCACGAAGGGCGACAACGGGGCCACGAAGGGCATGCACATGGGGCCACAACGGGCGCGAACGATCGGGGGCCACGAAGGGCAGAGCATGCGGGGCCACAAAAGGCAACGACGGGGCCACTGAAGCTAGCAACTGGACCACGTAGGACAGTGAGGGGGCCACAAACGGCGACAGCGGGGCCACGAAGGGCATGCACATAGGGCCACAACGGGCGCGAACGAACGGGGGCCACGAAGGGCATACGTATACTGGGCCGCGGAGGGCAAGGACGGGGCCACTGAGGGCAGCAACGGGGCCACGAAGGGCAGCAAGGGGGCCACGAAGGGTGACAGCGGGGCCGCGAAGGGCATGCATATGAGGCCACCACGGGCGCGAACGAGCGGGGGCCACGAAGGGCATACATATATGGGGCCAGGAAAAGCAGCGAGGGGGCCACGAAGGGCAGCGAGGGGGCCGCGAAGGGCTGCAACGGGGCCACGAAGGGCTGCGACGGGGCCACGAAGGGCAGCGAGGGGGCCACGAAAGGCTACAACGGGGCCATGAAACAAAGCGAGGGGGCACGACGGGCTTCAACGGGGCCACGAAGGGCAGCGAGGGGGCCACGAAGGGCTGCAACGGGGCCACGAAGGGCAGCGAGGGCGCCACGAAGGGCTGCAACGGGGCCGCGACGGGCAGCGAGATCCCGAGTCTTAAGTCATCTGTGAGGGAGTATTAAACGTGAGCGCGACTCCTGGGTGCCTGGGTGTCGGGAGCGCGGCGCTTGAGTAAATTGCAAGAATTTCCAACGCAAGGACGCTACTTTTCAGTGGATTGCAAGCAAGTCTCCAGCGAGAGCGCGACTCCAGAGCGCCGGGAGAGCGACTCATGAATAAATTGTGAGGAAGTCCAAAGCGAGAGCGCGATTTCTGAATAAAATGCAAGGAAGTCTCGGGCAGGAGCGGGGGTCCTGGCTAAATTGTGAGGAAGTATCAGGCGGGAGCCGTTGTTGTACTAACCTGGGGGCCAACGACACAATTTGACTCT